CTCCTCAACTAATACCTGTTTTACATTAAACCTAAAGCCTTTAATCATATTCAAAAGTCTTCGGATCATTTATAATAAAGTATTTTTAACGGCTCCTCTAAATAGAATACGAATAATAATAAAATAAAACAAGTTCAATTTGAATAATAATGATGATTATTATTATTATTATCCTAATTTTAGTGGCAAAAATGGGCCCTTTTTGTAATCTCCTTCGTGGAAATTACCCTAACTCGTTTGAACGTAGCTGGTTTTGTCGACTTAGACTATTATTCATTATTCAAAGGCACCACCTTTTGGATCTCTCAATATCAATCTTTTCCTCTTAACATAAATTCTATAAATTCCAACCTGAATTCATCTTCCTTGGATCTCCTCCACTCTCTCAGGTCAGACCTCCTCTTGAGATCCCACAAAACAAGAACAACATAAACAACAAGGATCGAGATCAATGGGGAGAGCTCCTTGCTGTGAGAAAATGGGGCTGAAGAGAGGCCCTTGGTCTCCTGAAGAAGATCGAATTCTGACCAACTTTGTTCAAGATCATGGCCATTCCAATTGGCGAGCTCTTCCTAAACAAGCTGGTCAGTTCAGCTTTTTTTCATATTAAGATCGAGTTTTTAGTTGTTTTTTATGAGTTTTTCCTCTAAATTTATTGGAATTCTAAAGAAAAACAGAAACCCAGAAAAACCCATGTCTTGAATTTTTCAATTTCGTCGTATTTTTAAAAAAGTTTGGATTTTTTTTGACGTAATATGTTGATCTTTTTTGTGTTTTTTGGTGTAGGTCTTTTAAGATGTGGGAAAAGTTGTAGACTTCGGTGGACGAACTATTTGAGACCTGATATTAAGAGAGGCAACTTCACGAAAGAAGAAGAAGACGTCATTATTAACCTTCATGAATTGCTTGGCAATAGGTAATTTACTACACTCTATTAACTTCTCGAGTCAATTTGAACATAGCTCAATGAACAAGGCATCTTAAAAGTAAAATGTTTGATTGTAACGGCCTAAACTCATCACCAGCAGATATTGTCCACTTTGACCCATTACATAAGACTGTCAGTCTCGTGGTTTTGAAACGCGTAAGGTTGACAGCGATATGTAACAAGTCAAAGCAGACAATATCTACGAACAGTGGGTTTGAGTTATTACAAATGGTACAAGAGTCAGATACTAGGCGGTGTGCCAGCGAAGACGTTGGCCCCCAGGGAGTCGATTGTTAGATGTCACATCAGTTGTAGAGTGAAATGAAGCATTCTTTTTAAAGGTGTAAAAACTTCTTCCTAATCGTGACACTAACGACAATTCATAACAGGTCAAAACGGTCAGATAAACATAATTTAATTAATATCAAAAATAGAAATTGGGCTTAACTTTGTTTACTTTTTCTTTGTTACTATAGATGGTCGACAATAGCAGCCAAGTTGCCCGGTCGAACAGACAATGAAATCAAGAACGTTTGGCATACCCACTTGAAGAAAAGGCTGCAAAAACCCATCAAAACACCTCCCAAATCCAAAAACAAAACAAAAAAGCAAACAAAATCAAAAAGTTCTTCAAATTATTCTTCACCAATGGCTATCACAAATCAAACCCATTTGCCCATTTGTTCTTCATCAATGTCCCCTTCACAACAATCTTCAACCTCTGAGATCTGTTCCTCACTCACCACAGATGCTTCCATGGCTGAAAATGAGTACTACAGCTACACAGCGGACGACACAGCTGCTCCGCCGCTGATTGACGAGAGCTTTTGGTCGGATGCGGCCGAGAATTATAATTCCAATTCCGATTCGAGTTCGAGTTATTATAACGAAGAGAATAAGGATATGGAGTTTTGGTACAATGTGTTCGTCAAAGCTGGAGGAATCCCAGGATTGCCTGAGTTTTAAGTTCTCTCAAAATCCAACAAAATTGCAGAGAATTGAGTCAAGGAGGGGCATTTTTGAAATATGGATGAAATATTGAGGGGGAAATGAATGAAACAGCAAATTTGAAGGGCTTGACAGAAATTTGGAGGTGGATAAAAAGCTTAGATATTTTTATAAAAAAATTTCAACCTACAATAACCATATTTTTTTATTCTAACTTTGTAAAATATCTGTTTATTTATTTTTAAATATTTGATTAAAATTTATAACCCAACCGAAAAATATCTATTTATTTATTTTCACCCTTTAAACAAACATCTAATTGATTCGTGTCAGATCCCACGTCAATTGGAGAGGAGAACAAAGCATATTTTATAATGGTGCAAAAAGCTCTCCTTAGTAAACGCATATTAATAATCATGATACCAAAATGGATAATACTTGTTAGTAGTCGGTTTAGACCATTACAAATGGTATCAGAGTCGGCCATTGAATGATGATTGTGAGATCTCACATCGGTTGGAAAGGGAAACATTCGATGGGAAGACGTTCATCTATTCAAATTCTAAGTAAATCCATAAACTAACTTTAACCCATAAAATTTTCATTTATTTCAACTCAACCCAACCAAGATCGGAAGGATTGGATTGATCTAGTTTCAGATCATGGAGTTTTTGAACACTCCTAAACGTAAATCTAATCTTAATGTAAGTCAATACCTGACATTAAAAATAGACTGTCATTATAATTTATATTTATAATCAAAACGATGTCAAACACGCACAGATTTCTGATATACTTAATAAATTAGGGTTAGATTGAGTTAGTCATGATTCCTTTCTTAGCTATACTATCAATACCCATGGATAAGGTCATTAAGGAATTTTGAGTATCATATTTTGACGTTCGAGGGTTCGAAAATCTCCATAAGAGCCCTCCAAGCTTTGTTAATAGTCTAAAAATGAAAGGGGAAGCTGAATTTTCTTTTGGACTTTGGATCTTTGGGTGTTCGAGTTTCATCCTGACTTGTTCTCATTTGACTAAGAATATTCATATTAATGTCGCCCCACATCATGCTGATGAAACTTGTGCGTGAATTCTCTGTTCGTTCGAGGTTTCGTTCTTCGATATTAGATGGCTCTCGTCGATATTGTTCCCCGTCTTCTTGCTTGCATCTTTTATAAAAGTGTGTTGTATCAATAATATTACTAAATTGAAACAACACTGGAGAGGCAAGGTAGTGTCAACAATGTCCTAGCGCTGCCATACGAACACACCGTAGAATTTGCAAGCACCGAGTCAACATCCCGAGACATTCTTCCGCTCGAAGCTACCATTATTTCCATATGTTTAACACTCTTTCTTTGTGGTGGTGTTGGCATCCCAATGCTGCCTCAACCTTCCCTATACTCACTCTTGTTCTCTTAAGGAAATTTTGACCTAAACACAAAATTACACCATGTGAAACTTTATTCGAGAACGATTTTAGAGCTTAGAAAATAGGTTTTTAAAGCACAAGATCGTAAAAATAGTGCTAGGAACGAGAATATCACTATGTGAGATATCACCATGTCGAACTTGATTTAATTGGGTTCTCAATATATCTGAGAATTAATTATGTTCGGGAGAGAGTTCGTGTAACAACTCAAGCTCATTGCTAGCAAATATTGTCTTTTTTAGATTTTCCCTTCTGGACTTCCCGTTTTAAAATGGGTCTGCTAGGGAGAGGTTTATACACCCTTATAAATAATGTTTCGTTTCCTTCTCCAACCAATGTGAAATCTCATCGTTCTTTTACGGTACAGTTCTTAACTTATAGAATATGTCCAAGAATTAATTAACTCATAAATCTAAGGGGGATGAAATCAACTCCCTAAGATTTTTTTTATTCAATCGTTCATTCCATATCTATTTCTAATAAAATCGAGCCTTATCATAACCCAATATTAAAATTGGAGCAAAAGATTTGAAGGTCTAACAAAATTGGAGGAATCTATGGAATATGCCTACGTATATTCTTTGATTTGCATTATGAATGGAAAAACGTGGATTAGTGAAGGAAAAAACAAATGGAATAAGAAGAAACAACAATGAGTGAGAGACAAGAAAAGGGAAACGTCAAAAATGTCGAACAAGCACAAAAGCCTCTTATTATTTTATGGATATTTCTTGACAACAATCAAATTATTAATTTAATATTAATGGAATCATTTAATGGCCACTCAAAATAAATTTCAAATTAAATTAAAGAATTTTCATGTATTTTGAGTTGACGGTAAGAAAGAGGTCAAGAAAAGAAAAAGACGTAACCTTATTTAGAGGAAATTGAAGAAATATATACATAGTTCAGTTTATTATATATAGTTTTAGCTTACTAAACTATAAAGAAGCCGTCTCAACTTAACCGAAATAAAATTGGTCTTTTCCATTGGGCCCCTTTTTTTAATTAATATATTTTTTTTTTTTTTTAAATTCTAGTCAGCCAACACTTGGAAGTCACGTTTATTATTTTTAATATAAAAATGTTGGACTGAATTCATTAAAAATTGTGGAAGTATTCAATTCAAACAAAACAATGGTGAAGAAAAGTTCGTTTTTAATGCAATATCTAATTTTTTAAAATATTTCTTACAGAAACGCATCAAACTTAAAAAATAAAAATAATAAATAAATAAACTTTTAGTTTCCAAATTTTCCTTTAATTTTTTAAAACTTAGTTCGAATGTAAAAATAATGTTTATAAACCAAACACGTCTTAAATAATATTATTTAAGTTTAAATCTTAAATTTTTAGAAAAAATTGTTTTGACTCCTAGATTTTAGATATTGGGTAACGTAAAACTTTATGAATCAAATTTATTGAAGCTACGGAGGAACAACCATGTGTCAAATCCCAATAAATTTAATTATAGTTCTTTTAAGGTTTTCTAATGACCATATTTCGGTTATATTTCTTGTCTCTTAACTATAGTCAAACAATATTTGTTAGCAGTAAATACTAGTTCATCATTAACGTTGGACGAAAACAAAACCCCTTTTCCTCTACAGACATTCAAGCGTGATCGGCTGAATGGGTCAGAATTTATTTGACATTCTTGAGAAGAAACAAACAAAATCCTGAGATGAATTCGAGAGAATTATTGTGGCGGGAAATATATGTGAATCTAATAATCAACAAAGTTCATAAAACTCATCACACAAACAGCCACGGTTGGTGATGGAAAATCATAATAAACAAAATGGAAATCGGGAAAATACATGGCATCAGAAGCAGAAGAAAATTACCTCTTCCTTAACAATGGCATTATTTAAAACTGTAACCACTCTGAAAAAGTACGTCAATTTAAGAGCTACCTCCATACTACTGACGCGAAGCAGTGGCCAACTATTTAGGAGAGGCAGGAGTAAGCCAAAGCCTTTTCCTCGGTCAGCTCCTCCGCAGTCAAATCCAGTTTCTTCCTAGAGAATTCATCCAACGAAAGTCCTGGATGCGGAAAGGATCACAAACAAACAGAAATTATCATAATTTTGCAGCATAAGAAATCCAAATACTTTCAAAAACCGTAGGCCTTTGAATGAATACAAACGTCGTCGGGGGATCTTACAAGAGGTTTGTTGGTTTTTGATAACTTTTGTAATTAGTAGATGATCCCAGAGGCCTAAAAATCTATGCATGTTTATCTAATAGTTGGAGCTCCTTTTTGGGCTGTTCTTGAGTTTGCTTTAGTGTTCTTCCAATTTTATAACTGAAAGCATAAAGAAACTAAACAATACCTTGCACAATTGACCATTCACCATTTTGGCAGGTGACGGGGAACGAGTAGATGAGTCCAGCTGGTACATTGTAGGATCCATCAGAATAAACTCCCATGGAAACCCAGGTGCCCTGGAGGGATATTAAGTTTTAATGAGCTATAAATCAGCCTTTACAAAACACAAAGTTCAAGGATTATAGCAAAATCACCAACCTCCGGGGTTCCAAGCACCCAATCACGAATGTGGTCACAAGCTGCACTAGCAGCAGACAATGCACTTGAGAACTTTCGGGCTTTGATGATTGCAGCACCACGTTGTTGAACAGTGCTAATAAACTCTCCATTCAACCTTCAATGAGAAAACAACCACATATTATTGTAAATGCTACTCGTCAAACTTAATAGACAGATATAGCACAGAAACTCAACCATGCGTCATCAGCAACAAGCTCACGGACAGATTTCTCCTCCCCAGATGGTAACTTGACAGTAGCATGGTTGACATCGGGGTATTGTGTAGATGAATGGTTACCCCAAATAATAACATTCTTAATTTCTGATACGTGAACATTCAGTCTCTCTGAAATTTGGCCTAATGCCCTGTTATGATCCAATCTAGTCAAGCAAGAAATGTTCTTCTCGGGGATGGAAGGAGCAAATTCCTTCAAGATCAATGCATTAGTATTCGCCGGGTTAGCAACAACCAAAACCTGCAAGAGTAAGGAAACAGAGTCAGTTGTCTGACCGTTCAAACATAATCAACTACAAAGAAATAGAAGAACATTGCTTTTTCAGTAAAATTGTTTATACGGAATGCATTCAATGTCAGTTACCTTACAGTTGGCAGCAGCGTGCTTTTCAAGAGCAGAAGCCTGAGCCTTGTAAATTGAAACATTTTTAGACATCACATCTTTTCTTTCCATACCCTCTTTCCTTGGAAATCCACCAACCATAATAGCAATATTGACACCAGTGCATGCCTCAGCCACATCAGTTGTAGCAACAACACCTACAATATAGCATCAACCATACATAAACAATAAGACAATCACAGAAACTGTTAAATGAGTTCGTTCGAGCTTAGAGAAGAATTGCTGTATTATACCCTTTAGAAGTGGGAAGGCAGCATCTACCAACTCCATCTTTACGCCATTCAATGACTCTGCAGCTGGTGGAATATCAAGCATGTGCAAGATCACAGGCTGGTTAGGTCCTAGCAATACTCCTCTGGCGATCATAGGCACAAGAGCATATCCGATTTGTCCTGAAAATCCAACAAGCAAATGCATTACTACTTTTCTGGTCACCATTGAGTAACGTCTTAATTCAGTGTTGCTTCTATGAAATAGTAACAGAAAACAGCAAATGAATTCCGGTTACTGCTCATATGCACTAAATATTCACGAGAGTGAGAAGGGCAGCGACTCAAAAAGAATGACTTGGTATTCTATTGACTGTTCTAGAAAAATAAACCAAAAATATTGCTCTTATCGAAATAAAGGAATAGTCAACATAAACTGGTGATATCTGTCCGTATTAACACCCAAAGCAAACATCATCACTAATAAATATCAAGCTACACAGATTCACATTCTAGATCCACATCAATTCCTCCGCCTATATCTTTTAACGTTCATTACTGCAAATCTTAAACACATAGAAACAGAGAACTCGAAGATCAACGAAAGAAACACATAAACACTTCCATAACAGAACCAAAACCTCAAGAATCGTTCGAACTCATTCCATAAAACCACGAAGAAACAGATAGAACCTCATTTTCCAAATTTGACTCCGAAAACAGCAAACAAGGAAGCCAAACGGCGACGAAATTCACAGCAGAAACTTAAGAAATGAACTACAATCAACAAATCTGATCGCAAATTCAAACCAAACACAGACAATAAACAACAAACAACAGATGCGCAAAGTAACAGTATCACAGAAATAAATCAAACACACAAAGAGAAAAAGAAACCAAAAGCGGAAACGATTGATAAACCGACATCATCTTAGATCAATAGGAACGAAAAGAAAGAAACGGAATGTTTATCGGTACAGTACCGGCAGCTCCAGTGACGAGGACTCTAACTGGATTTTGCGCCATGGCTGACGAGAATCAACGGGGAGAGAAAACTCAAGAATCGGAAGAGAAAATGAAAGTGATTCCGTAGAGAACTGGAGAGGTGTCTGGAGAAGGAAGGGGATATTTATTGGCCAGGAGAAACGGACGCTGAAACCTAGGTGTCGGATTTTTGTGGTCACCAATCGAACGACGCCGTCACTACGACGGGAGACTTAACGACCGTTATGTAAATCTACCGGCTTTACTTCCCATTTAATATGAAAATAAAACCCATTAAATTTTTTTTATTGAGTTTATGAGTTAAAATTTTAATTTAAATTTTTATAGTTAACCAACCACTCATTTCAAAATAGAGTTTACAATCCAACCTAACTTAATTACACTAGTTGTTATGAAGATAAGAATATTTGACGTTTGTAACCAATGTTAATGAAATGTTTGTAACTTAAAAATATTTTAATATTTAAAAACAATTAATTAATTAACGTGGATAAGTATGATTTTTTTTAAGATAATTACAAAAATGAACTTGACAACCAACCAAATAAGGAACACGCTCAGAATTTCAGGTTGTGCTAGATTGGCTGAAAATCTTATTCCAGTAGTCACCAATCCAAAATTTTGAATTTGTTAAAAAAAAAAAAATCTAGAGTTCTACCCACTTACCTTCCTAAAAGAAACAATGAATATAATAATTGCATCATTCTTACATATTTAATAATACGATTATTGGATATAAAAAAAATGTTTATTTTAATTTTTTTAAAAAGAACCAGTTATATCATGATAATCTCTGAGTTTTAAAATATATTAATTTTTAAATTAAACTTTCAATTTTGAATTCAAACTTTAATAAATTTCAAAGGAAAAGACAATCGTGGTAATTTCCGTTGGAAAAACTTAATAAATGTTATTTAATGGTTAATTTATACGTTAAAAATTTAATGTTACCCATTTTATTCTATTTAATTAACGTAAATCAACAATAATGGGTATATTCCGTTTGAGCGGTGAAATCCACGTGTCATATCACCGGGGCCATTAAGCTACGTGTAGTAACGGTGGGCCCAATGAAGCTACGTGTAATCTGCATTTTTATCTAATTTTTATGAAAGAAAAAGATTTAACACCAAAGTCAAACATTTTTTTTTTTTTTTCATTTTTATCCAATCTTTATGAGTTTTTATTTATTGATTTATTTTTGAAGAATTATTTGGCTTGCAATTATTGAATTAGGATTGGAAATTTTGGTTCATTTAGGCTAAGAAAATGGACAAATTTAATTTAAACTTGAAAAAATGTTTGAGATTTTAATTTTTAATAAGTTTTTGTTAGAAAATGTTGGATCGGTATGGCAACCCTAGAGGGGGGGTGAATAGGGTTTTAACGATAAAAGTGTTTAAACGTGATTAATTTTTCTAATGATGAAACTTTTTGCAAATAAGTAGAAGATGATAATTACTATAACAAAGTAATTCAAGTCAAAACAATAATCAAGTAGAACATGCAATAAATCACAATAATAATTTTGAAATTAAGTAGAAAAGAGTTAGAGAAAATGACACCGTAGTTTTATAGTGGTTCGGTCAAACTCGACCTACTCCACTCCCCAAGCGCCTCTTGGGAATTTGAATAAAGAACTTTCTCGACTCTTTCCACGGATCTGAGCCAAACCGCTACACCGCTCTTTTTACGAGTTCAAGAGCAAACTCAATCCTTTCCACGGCGCAGGATCAAACCGATACAAGTATTTGAGTTTGATAATAACACACCACAACTCTCTCAAAGAGTAGATTTACAATTTGGGATACTCACAACTATTTCCTCACAATACAAAAATAATCCCTCTCAAGAATAAGATGAAAAGAAATGAACTTGTAAGCTTGGAGAGAGCAACAAACAATGGAGACTTTGAACAAATGAGGATTGGAGAATGTATGTAAGTTGTGTATTTTAAAATGTGGGGAAGATGAGTTTATATAGGGGAGAAAAGTGGCAAAATGTAGGATTGAATATTGACCATTGGATTGTGTTAGGAATAATGGAAGGTGGAGATTAAAAGTAAATAAGTAAGAAAATTTTCTAAATTCATTTATTTCAAAATTTTAATATAATAGTAATATAATATAATAATAATAAAAAGTTATGTGAGTAACGGTCAAATGAAATTCAAAATTTATTATAAATATAATAATATAATAATAATAAAAACTATGTGAGTAACCACCAAAATTTTAAAATATAATAATATAATAATATAATATAGTAATAATAAAAATCGATGTGAGTAACGGTTAGATTCAAATTTATATTTTGTAAAAATAACTTTATTTAAAAATATAGTAATAAGAAAAACTCCACCATTTGTTACTCTCCAAAAATCATAAATGTCATACTTTGATATATCTTGATTTGTCCATCATTTTGATTTTGCTGCCACATCATCACGTCGGGTATGTTGTCTCGACTGTAATTTCTTCGTTTTAGCTCTGATTTGAGTAATTGAAAAGTCGTTGAAATTGTTATTCCCGACCTTATACTGTTGGACAGTTCAAAATACTGAAAATAATTAATAATTAAAAAGTAGGTTTGTTATCATCAAAACATCAATTAATTGATTGAAATTAATTAAAATGAGATCAAGGCCAAAAAGCCAACAGAAAATTCATATAATAATATGCTCTTAATGAATTAAATAGAATAACGAACCTTTGAAATTTATGAGTTTTAGAAATTACACAGCATAATTTCCGTATTTATTAAATTTATATTTGTGTAAAATTTAGGGTGATTTTTATTAGGGGTGTACACTCAATCCGACAATTCGAACCAACCCAACTCGAACTAGAAGGGTTGGGTTGGGTTGGATTAGCATTTTGGGTAGGGTTGGGTTCATTTTTCTGAACTCAAACTGAATCGATTCGATTTCGAATTCATGGACAAAACTTTCGAATTGACTCGAGCCAAATAAAATATAAAAATATAGTAAGAAACTTTTCATATGAATAGGTTTGCCAGAGTGATACTTAGGTCAATTTTTGGACGCTACCGTTCAAGTTCAATATAAAAAATTTTAAAACATATTCTAAATTCTAATATATTTATTATTAGTATATCATAATTTATATACATTTTTATTTTTCTAATAAAGGATTGGGTTATGAAAAGTTTAGGGTTGGGTTACCCATCCAACCAACCCCCAACTATTGTGTTGGGTCAAAAACAAATCTCTCAACCCAACTCAACCAGACCACCACGTACACTGTAATTTTTATATTTAAAGTCTAATTTAACATAATTGAAGATTTACAACGAAAATTAATATCTCACTACCAATTTAAAAGGTACATAATTAAATACACGAGTTATAATGACACGTGTCATGGTCGATTTAAAATACTCGATTTTTTTTTAATATTAATTCTCTAGTTCAATCCTCGTTCCCGAAATGGAGAAAGATTTAGAGTCTCAAGAACATTAGTGGGCCAAAAGCCCAAAAATTACAGTTGGGCTATCAAAGCCCACCAGGCCCAATACAGCCCAAAAATCAATACGTCGTGTCGTATTTCCTCAGACAAGTTTTATTGAATTCCCCTGCAGAATGACAAATGTACCCTTATATTCCGGGTGTCGGCGAAGCTTTTTAAAATAATAATAATAATAAATAACTATATATTTATTTATGCAATTAATTTTCCGATAATTAACTATATATTTTTAATTAATTTTGGTAATCAACGTTATTTTGTAATAATGTATTGAATTAACCTAATTAATAATTCAATTGTAATAATTTGAATGAGAAAAAAAAAAAAAAAACATGCATATATTACCAATTTAGCAATGGTCCGTGGAGGCTCGAACAAGCGAGTCAGAACCGGCATGGCAGCTGGAGCGTCGCTTCATGAATCCCGCCACCACGTATTCTGTCACCGCCGCCGCCATCCATTTGTCACCACCATGCCTCCGCCGGCCACCTATAAATACTCTTCCACCTCTCTCCCCTTTTCTCACACCACCATAACTAATAGCCCTTCTCTTCTCCATACCAGCAATGGCTCGCTCTTCTCTTTTTACCTTTTTATGTTTAGCAGTTTTGATCAATGGCTGCCTCTCTCAGATTGAGCAGCAGAGCCCCTGGGAATTCCAAGGCAGTGAAGTATGGCAACAGCACCGCTACCAATCTCCCAGAGCCTGTCGTCTTGAGAATCTCCGAGCTCAAGAACCCGTTCGCCGGGCTGAAGCGGAGGCCGGTTTCACTGAAGTCTGGGACCAGGACAACGATGAGTTCCAGTGCGCCGGCGTCAATATGATCCGCCATACAATCCGGCCCAAAGGTCTGCTTCTTCCTGGTTTCTCTAATGCTCCTAAACTCGTCTTCGTCGCCCAAGGCTTCGGTATTCGCGGCATTGCCATCCCCGGCTGTGCAGAGACTTACCAGACTGATTTACGAAGATCGCAATCGGCCGGATCTGCGTTCAGAGACCAGCATCAGAAGATCCGCCCCTTCAGAGAAGGAGATCTCCTCGTCGTCCCGGCCGGAGTTTCTCACTGGATGTATAATCGAGGACAGTCCGATCTCGTTTTGATCGTATTCGCAGACACTCGCAACGTCGCCAACCAAATCGATCCCTACCTCAGAGTAAGTTGAAGTTAAAAAACAGAGTAAACGATTTTATAACTGATTTGGTAACGAAACCCTGAGAACGATTTTGTAACTGATTTGGTAACGAAACCCTAAGAACGATTTTGTAACTGATTTGGTAACGAAACCCTAAGATTCTAACGGCGAATTTGTTTCAGAAATTCTACCTTGCCGGAAGGCCAGAGCAGGTAGAAAGAGGCGTTGAGGAATGGGAGAGAAGTAGCCGAAAGGGATCTTCCGGCGAGAAATCAGGCAATTTATTCAGCGGATTTGCAGACGAATTTCTAGAGGAAGCTTTCCAGATCGACGGTGGATTGGTTCGGAAGCTAAAGGGAGAAGACGACGAGAGAGACAGAATCGTGCAGGTCGACGAAGATTTCGAGGTGCTTCTACCGGAGAAAGATGAAGAAGAGAGATCGAGAGGAAGATACATCGAATCAGAATCAGAATCGGAGAATGGCTTAGAAGAAACCATTTGCACACTCCGATTAAAGCACAACATCGGCCGATCAGAACGCGCCGACGTGTTCAACCCACGCGGCGGCCGAATCTCCACCGCCAACTACCATACCCTCCCCGTTCTCCGCCAAGTCCGCCTCAGCGCCGAACGAGGAGTCCTCTACAGCGTAAGTAACGTTTAATTTCAACTCCGAAATCCTTCCCCCAAACCACTAAAATCTTCGAAATCCGGAAATGCAGAACGCGATGGTGGCGCCGCACTACACAGTGAACAGTCACTCAGTGATGTACGCGACGAGAGGCAGCGCGAGAGTGCAGGTGGTGGACAACTTCGGACAGTCGGTGTTCGACGGCGAGGTCCGGGAAGGACAGGTACTGATGATTCCGCAGAACTTCGTGGCGATAAAACGAGCAAGCGACAGAGGATTCGAGTGGATCGCATTCAAGACGAACGACAACGCAATCACGAATCTGCTGGCGGGGCGAGTGTCGCAGATGAGGATGTTGCCGCTGGGAGTGCTGTCGAACATGTACCGGATCTCGAGAGAGGAGGCTCAGAGGCTGAAGTACGGGCAGCAGGAGATGAGGGTGCTCAGCCCCGGAAGGTCGCAGGGAAGAAGAGAGTGAAGATGAAGAAGTGGGTAGTGGGTAATGGGTAATGGGTAATATATATATATATGGTAGTAGTAATGTAATGTAATTTAGGGAATAAAGAGCGAGCTTTCAGGTGATGCCGCCGACGAGCCCTGCTTGTTACCGGCCGGAAAAAATGGAGAAATCTCTCAGAAAGACACTGAGTTTTAATAATAAAAGTAATAATATTCGCCTCTTTTTTCCTTTCAACTCCATGCTTAGCCGTTTTTTTGTCTTTTTCCAACAACCAAAATCCCAACTAACTCATCTTATTATGTTTCATTAACTACCTAATACAATATTTTGCACACTATTATCATATTAATTAATAGTGCTAACAATTAAACACGTTCAAGTCTATAGCAACATATAACTTGAGTAAGAAAAATTTAACTAGTCACATCTCATCTAGATAGGACAATATAATAATATATTTTTTTAAATCTCTTAATCTAGACATGATAATATAATAATATTTTTTTTAATCTTATTTTACGTTTTAAAATTAAAAAAAAACTCATATCAATAAATAAAACTAATATAAAAAAAAATAAGATTTGATTCTAATAATACGTGTAATTCAAATCCAACTCCGAGGCATTAATAATTAATAATTGATATTTATTATTTTAGATTTTAAATATGATCAACTTTTCACCTAACGGCAAACAATCATTTAGTCTTTATTATTTAATTTTAGACCGATATGAATATAGTTAATATTGCAAATTACGATAAATGATATAAAATATTCATAAACTTTAGACTAAATTTCATTTATATATTATAATATAGTTTTTTTTCAAGTGAAATGTACAACCATAATAATATATTATTGCTTAAAAAATCATAATAAAAAGATATAAATGATGTAATAAATGTCAATACATTTGACCCACGGTTAACCTATTATCTATCCACTTCAAAATTTATTAACCACAAGTATAATTAACTCATTAATTATCTTTCAAAATTTATCTATTTTTAAAATTTAAATATAACACATTCTAAAGTTAATGAATTTATTGTATACGAATTTAAATTTCGTAAATTAAAAAAATGTAGAATAAGTTGCTTAAATTTGTAATTTAATAAAAAAAATTACAAAATTAAATGTATTTATTTATTTTTTTTTTGTAACATTTAATTAAGTTTTTTCGTTCAAATTAAATAAAAAATATGTGTTAATTCATAGTTTTATTTATTTAATACCACTCAAAATTTAATTTCACCTAAATTTAAATAAATAATTAAAAAAAATCTTGAAAATAAGAGATTTATAAACTAAATTATTCTCGTCATGTCGACCCACAACACTACCCTCCTTCTCTCTCTTTATCTGTGTGTGTGGCTAAAGGCATTGCAGCGAGTACTTAAGACCGAGTCCTTTCCCAAAATTAGCATATTTTCTGCATCAAATCACAACTCCTAGATCTGATTTCTCTTTCGGTCTCTCCATTCTTTGTCGTTCTTTTCAATTTCTTCTTCCTTCACTTACTGGGAACTCTCGCTGTTCTAATCCTGACTCCTCGCACTCGCTTCCCGATCCGCTTCCAGTAAGATTCCGCTGCCGTTTTCTTGTTTTTCTCCCATTTTCTGATTTGGTTTCTGTTTTGGTTCTTAATTGTTTTTGGTTCTGGACCTCTCGTTGCATAATTCCTTGATTTTTTTTTTTTTTTTTTTTTTTGAGATGTTTATTGGTTATT